CACAGAGATCTGGTGATGTAACTCCGCAAGAAAGATTTATTAGCTGACTGAAATAGGAGGCTTGGTACAAAAGTCAAACGTATAGGCCAAAAATTGAAAAGAAACCCAAACCATAGGGGAAAGAAAACACTGGTATAAAAAAGAAACTATTTTTTTATTATTACTAATATTTTTAAAGAAATTAGGGGTGAAGATGAGGAAGAAATCTCAGAGTAGGGGTTGGCGTTTGTTTAATGCTATATTTCCTACTGTAGGAAATAAAATCAGCAAATATCTCACTGAGACAGATGCCAAATGTTTGGCTGTTTGATCTTTCTCACATCCGAGTAGTTTCATTTCAGAAGACTCGCTCTGAAGCATTTGAGGAGTTCTTATAACTGGGTTTGTTTGGTTGTTTGGTTTTTTTTTTAGTTGAAAGAGGAAACCTTAGCAAAAGTCAGTTTAGAATATCTAGTTGAAATCTAATTACAGTCATCCTCCCCCATCTCTCTTCAGTGATGACAAGTTCAGTAGTTTTACAGGATAATTTCATGCGATTTACTCTTCTCCCTATTTCATTCCAAATTTTTACTAACACCCTGTTAGCCATCTTCTGTTCAGGCAGCTGAGCACCTTCAACTAACTGATCCTGCTCTTATGGGAGATTGAACGCAAGATTAGACTCTTATTTTAGAAAACATTTAACGGAACAGTTTTGTTCCATGCAAGGGGCACAGTTAATTATCTGGGCTAAAAAAGTAAATGCTTTTATAATTCAAACACATGGTAATAAAATGCACATACCATGGAAAACAGCCAAGTAATCTAAATGAAGCTAAAATATGTTTCACAGCTACCAAATTTCTGTGTAATCATACGAAGCAGTGAATTTCTGTTATATATTGAGACTAAAATACGTATTTTTGTCTTTTTCAGATATCATAACCTTAAGAATGCAGTCGGTTTGTCAGAGAGTTGGTGCTTGTTCCTCATGTTTGAAGAGACAACTAAATGGCTTTCTGGGATTAATTAAATGGCAGAGAAGATTGGTTCCTGCTTGTGTCAGAACTATTTACAGTGAGACGGGGAAATGGGAAAAAAGCTATGGGTTGGAGACGAGGAAAAGAGTTGAAAATTGGTGGCTCCCACGAATAAAGGATCAGTTCTGCAGAATTTCAGAAACTGATGTAAGCATTATGCGACATCTGGAAATCACGTTTGGTATTTTTGTTTTTTCGGAATGAAGTTATTTGAAACTTACTTATTACAGTCGGCTTCTGATAATATGTATATTATGTTTCAGGGGAAAATACTTTTATATGATAGTAGATTGTTAAAAACAGTTGATGTAATAGGAGGAAAAATAAAAAAAGTTGGGGAAAACCACGATTATAAGCAAAGTATGAACCTCTAAATTTAGGAAGTGTTGAAGTAATCAATTCTTCATTTAGTATACCACATTTAGGAATTAATTATTTAAAGTATTAAATGAAACATCTATGTTTGTAACTTCTGTAAACAGTTTTCTCAAGATGCTGTTCCTAGTGGCTATGCCAACTCTATTACACTTCACACTGTGATCCATTAAAATCCATATTAAGGGAAGATCATTTTTTAAGGATATTTTGTGGTTTACAGTGTCTTAGGAATAGTAAGTGACTTGCAGGAAAGAAAAAGCTTTCCCATGCAATAAAAAAATCTTGAAAACAATGGTAATCCTGGTCTCTGACTCTTCTTGCTTTTGCAATTGTGCTCAGTCACATACGTATAAAAACATTTTTGTGCCTCCCTTTGTCTTTGTTTGTTCTTTCCTAAAGTATGCTTCTTCTCCAAAAAAACCTGACATATCTAAGTGTCAAAGACAGAAAAGGGGTTTGCTTTTTCTGAGGAGGAGAACTGAGATGAAAATAGTGTACATGCATAGAGTAGCAGGGAAAGCATTAATTTAAGCTTCTGTCTGTAATATCTGACAATACACAAATGCATAGGTATTGTATATCACACATCTGATAAGTGTAAATTGTATTTTTAATGGTACTTTTGTTTTATCCTTACAGTTGAAATAGATTTAATAACATCTTGTATTAAGAGGCAGATAGTGTATAGTGCTGCAGTGAAGTTTTCAGATTATTTCTGATTTTGCTAGAATTGGAGAAAAGCGATAGAAAAGGAATATTTGGTAAACATAAATAGACTTCTTTTCAAAATACTAAAAGTTGCCCTTTTTTTCCTCATTATTAATGTAAGAAAAATACTGTAGGAACTTTTCAAGCATGTATTGGTGATAAATTCAATGGTAATCAAGATGCATTAGGAATAAGTTATTTGAGAGAAATAACATTTGATTTCTGTGTAACTTCTGTCAATTTACTCAAACCTAGCTAAATGAAATTTTTACTTTCACTATGCAAGATACTGCTTGTATTACTTCTTTGGAGCTGAGCATATGTAGTGGAGCCGAACGGTTTCACTTCAGTGGATGTTCATGATCGAGTTAGTCACTCAGTGAGTTACTGCAGTTCAGCTGATAAAAAGCAGCTGGCCAGGAGCAAGCTCCATGTTTGTTGTAAATACAAAGTCAAACACTTATTTAAACTGCATTTAAAGAATATCATCTGTCATGTTTTCCTATTTTGGTGAGACAGATTAAGAGCACATAGGTAATCAATTACAGATGCTATGGTAGGGATTGGTGTTTTGTTATGCTGCCAATTATGTTAACTAATCTTTTGTTGAGTAAAATTGATTAAAACCATAATTTTCAAGTGCCATATGAATATATGAGATGACAGCAAGTCTGGTAAAATATCTCTATCTCCATCCCTAAAGAATTTGATCTGATGAAGATTCCAGCAGAACCTTGTTTCTCTTCATGGTACCCTGTAGTTTATAACGTGCACTTGTATTTATTCAAGTGAAATGCAAACTCATGTGGTTACAACTTTCTAAAATTTCTTTCTAGAAATCAAGACCAAAATTTTATGTGCTTTCTATGTTCCCATATCCTTCTGGAAAGCTTCACATGGGCCACGTTCGTGTCTACACCATCAGTGATGCAATAGCTCGATTCCAGAAAATGAGAGGGATGCAGGTAAGAAAAGATCAGCTGTAGGACTGGGTGGGGTTTTTGTGTTTTAATATCATAATTGGTCAGGAAATTAGTATTTTCAAAATCCATGAAGGTGAAGGTTTAGCTGGAATGTATGCTACAGATGCATAGGTAAATGACTTGTGGAGCTTTGAGTATTGACATTTCAGACTTTTTAAAAGCAGGCGGTGTTCAGAACTTGCTGTTGATAATGCTTTGTTATGTTATCTCCAATGATAGAAGTGATGCTGTATCAGCTACCTGAGTCTATTGATGGTCAGCATAGTGTTGATGAGACTGAAGATTCTGCTGCCATCTGGGTGAGACTGTGGTGGGGGAAATGTGTGGCTGGCAAGAGAAAACTGAGGCACTGCAGAAGTCAACTCCTTTCACCTCTTCTGCTCCTGAGAGCTAGTTGATGTCCTTTGTCAGATTCTGAGGGATGTCCTGCACTTCTGTGCCAGCTGGGAGGGAAACCTTTTGTCATGATTGCTACAAGTCAGATCATAGAATTACAGAATCGCAGAATGGTTTGGGTTGGAAGGGACCTTAAAACTCATCCAGTTCCAACCCCCTGCCACAGGCAGGGACACCTTCCACTAGACCAGGTTGTTCCAAGCACTGTCTAACATGACTTTGAGCACTGCCAGGGATGGGGGCAGCCACAGGTTCTCCAGGCAACCTGTGCCAGTGTCTCAGCACCTCATAGTAAAGAATTTCTTCCTGACATCTAATCTAAATCTTCTGTTTCAGTTTAAAACAATTCCCCCTTGTCCTGTCCTTATATGCCCTTGTAAAAAGTCTCTTTACAGCTTTTTTGCAGATGCCTTTAGGTATTGGAAGAGATGACCAGGGTCATGTCACACATGACATCATGTAGGTGTAGTAAAAGAGACGATAAACTTGAAATGATTTTCTAAACCACTGTCCATGTTATGTTCATCTCTATAGCAACTACATAAATAGATCTGTCCTGGAGATTCATTTGAGGGTATTTTTAATGTCTCTTTACATTCAGGTTTCTGATTGAAACTTGCATTACTGTACTTCTTCAGTCCTTTAACTTGAAGAATTATTGTTCGATTGACCTGCCTTTCAAATGTGATAAGTGAATACACTGCATGATATTTTTAATATACATGCTAGAATTGGGAAGATCTATGTGAGCACGTAACTTGTGCAGACATTTTACCACTGTACCATCAATGCTTGCACATGAGCTGTCTGGAGCATCAGTCAGCCCTTTTGTGGAGTCCAGACCTGGTAATGAAGCTGTTCTTCCCACATCCTTTTGCTCATGAGCGTGAGAAATGAGACTGTGTTTTGCTTTTGGCTGTTTATCTGCGCCCGGGGGATCTTCAGAAGCCAAATGTTACAAAAATTAATCTCACTTAATGTGCATCAGTTTGTTGTAGAAGAAGGCATTTGTAGGGATGCAAGCATAGGGCATTTGTCTAAACAAAGGGGGTTCAAATAAGAGAAAATAGGTATTATACATGGAAAAAAAGAATCTGCTTTGTTTCATTGTTTCTGTCCAGAAACAGGTCACCAGCAATAGTAGTGGTGAAAAAGAGCTGAACTGCAGAAACTAGTATTTCAGTGTGCCCTTAAAAAAATTCTGTTGAGATTTGTAGTTCATGTAAAGTTTACCTTTTTTTCTCTTTTATACCAATAGTTTTGATTACTGGTGGGAGGAGGGAGAGGTGTGTGTGCTTCAACAGGGTGTTCACAAGTGGTTTAGGCTCCAAATGAGATTTTCCATGTAACTCTTGTAACGTGGGAAAGTAGGTAGTTAAGGAGTCATATTTCCTGACACTGTGATATCAGGAACAATAGTCTGTCTTATAATAAGAAAAACTTCTAAGAGACAATAGCATTCTGATTTCAGTTAGATTTATACATCACAGATGTGCTGTGCATGGGCCCTGGCTTGAATCACAGTTGGCCACAGGTTAATACTTCTGGTTTTGTTAACTGCACCAGCAGAGTTTTGTTTTAGCTCAGTATTGAAAATGAGAATGCTGAAGAGTCACATCTGTTAAATCCTGTTGTTTCCACACTGAGTTGGTGCCTAGGGCACCTTTATAAACATGTCTATAAAATATTTTTAATGAAATAATCCGTTGAAGACAGAAGATTGGAAGGATGTGGCAAAGAAGAATAAAAATAATTCAAACCAGTGACAAAAGGAGTCTTGTGCTTCTGAAATGGACAGATTTTTAACATCATAATACGATGAGATTAGTATTGCTGGCCTTGCTTTGTTAGTGCTTGTTTGCTTACATGCAACCAAAGAACAAGTGCTTTATATAAATACATTTTTAAGAGGTAAAAGTTTTAATTTCTTACAACCTGTAAAATGTTGCTCAATCACCTTTTTCTGTTGTGAAACTTGTGTAACTTTAATTGTAATTATTGAATTTATAGCACTTTTGGAGGTGTAAGAAATGGGATCTTTTTTGTCACATATCGAATATGTATGTGTTTAAGGACAGCATCTGAAGTACTGGCCTTTCTTTTCTTGGCTATTCAACAGGTTTTTTGAATACTTGCTGAATTGCTGGAGTATTTTTCGAAATAATATGCACTTACATAGGAAAGAGATATATCTCTTTCAACACCATTTATTTGGCTGCAAACCACTGTTCGTTATTTGGAGACCTGTGTGATTGTATATTTCCTTTTTGCTGACAGGTGATTAATCCAATGGGATGGGACGCATTCGGTTTACCAGCAGAAAATGCTGCAGTTGAACATGGGCTTCACCCTGCAAGCTGGACACAAAGGTAATTTGTAATGAACTTAAGTAACACAATATTTCCACTGTGAATACCTGTACTGTGAACCCCATAAGCCAACAGAACAGAGCAAAACCAGTGTAGAAGTATAGAAGAAAGCCAAGAGAGAAAGAAGCAGGATTGTTTACCAGTATTTTGTGGGACTTTGCAGTTCTGGTGTCGTCAACATAAAAAGGACATGGAGCTGTTGGAGCAAGTCCAGAGGAGGGCCACGGGGATGATAAGAGGACTGGAGCACCTCCCGTATGAAGACAGGCTGAGAAAGTTGGGGCTGTTCAGCCTGGAAAAGAGAAGGCTGCGTGGAGACCTTGTAGCAGCCTTCCATTATCTGAAGGGGGCCTACAAGGATGCTGGGGAGGGACTCTTCATTAGGGACTCTAGTGGTAGGACAAGGGGTAGTGGCTTTAAACTTAAACAGGGGGACTTTAGGTTAGATCCACGGGAACTTCATGTGTGCAGCCCCAACTCGGCCTCCTTCCCGTCTCCACCTGGAGCTGAGGCATTTTGGCATGGCAGGGGACAGAGCCGTGGGCGACATAGTTTAGTGTGTCCCTGCTCATGGCAGGGGGGTTGGAACTAGATGATCTTAAGGTCCTTTCCAACCCTAACTATTCTATGATTCTATGAATCTGTTTTGAAAAATAAATGCATCAGGATGATTTTTAAGGTTTTAATCTCAATGAATTTTAAATTGTAAAAACATAGAATATTGAAAGAGTGACGTTTCCCAGACACCCAAATCAGCGAGTAAGAAATAAATCAGAATTTTATTATGGTGAGGTAAATCTTAGTGTAGAACACACAGTTGAAAATTGAGCTGTGTGGTTAGATTTATTAGCAGTTTCAGTACCATGCAAAATGGGAAAAAGATAGTTTACATTTGAGAGTGGGTCTTGGAAAGTGATAAGTAGAATTCAGTGTCATGTTCCCCTAGTATTCTTTAAAATTAATAGTTTCTATAAATGACTCAGAAATCAATCTTAAATGAAGCCCTTTGTTGTGCTCTGGATGCAGTAATCTGGCTGTGGTAGCATTCTGGATCTTGATCCATTTCCTTCTTTGCTAGTGCTTCTGGTCCCACATCAAGATACTTTTCCAACTGAAATAGGATGACAACTGATTTAATTTAGGGAGAATGCATATGTGCATCACACAGAAATTCTGAGTTAGTTATGCTTATTTAAAATTTCCTTTATGTATGGTTTAGATAAGAATATGTGCAAGAACCAGTTACTATCAAGACACAAAAACCTCCTGTGTTTTTCCTTTCGAGAGAGTCTGCAAGGTCACGGTGCACAGCTGACTGAGTTGAATTGCCTCAAAAGAAAAGCAGTGAGCATCTGGGTTAGAGACTGTGTAATAGCAAAGAACTGTATCAGCTCAGCCTGTCTCATCTTAGCAGTTTGTCTAGATCATACCAAAACCAGCATGTGGCAGGGCACAGCCTGAGCTGATTCTTTTCTGCTACTTTCTGTGCTCTCCTGTTTTTGTCGTTTCTTGTAAATGAGTGTGCATTGGTCCATACATGGAAAGCAGTTCAAGTAGTAGTTACAAGTACAAGGTGTTCTCTAATGGAAGAAAAATTTGCACTGAAAATATCCCTTGTACTGAAGAGAGTGATAGTCTAGTTTTAAGTTAGATAACAATATTGCAACAACAGACTGAGAATAGTTAGCACGTCACTGTTGGGACTGATTATAGAAACATCCAAATAGGAAAATTATTTACATACTTTTTCATTTCTGATTGTGCTCAGGAAGGGGGTTGGTTCACCACACAGGCAGTTTAAATTCTGACCTCTGTAGTAACTGCTGTCTCCTGTTTTCTCCGCTGCCCCTGTCCTGAATGTTTCTCATGCCTGCAACAGGGATGACTGAACTGAACATGAAGCTGCGATGGTTTTGTAGCAATCTCATGTGCTTTAGTCATCCCAGGTGCAGAGTCAGCCACTCCTGTAAAAGGGGGCACACTGTAAGCCTTTCAGCTCAGTTGTTTCAGGATTGAGCAATCAAATTTCAGAGCATCCTGATTTTCTCGAGAGGTGATTTAAAGTGCTCAAATTGCCTATTACTTCTTACATTCTCAAAGTTCAGGAAAAAAAAAAAGCAACCCGTAAACCACATTGAAGACTTGAGTTACTTATAGAAAATACAGAAACTTCAGTTATTAAGAGATAATATAGTGGCAGAATTTTGGTGAAAGTACACTGAAGTTTGAATTTTTTCTTATTGGCACAGCTCATTTTGAATGGGACTTTAATGTAAGCAGGACTGCTGAAAGGATGGCTTCTCCCAGTGGAAGCTGTGAGTCCATAAGAGGATTTCCTGGTACCCATACCAGGAGAGGTGTACAGCAGGCCTTTTCTGGTGTCACTGGAGCTCTATGGCTATTAATGCTGGATACTTGCATTACTCGATTACAGTTATTCAGCAATGCAAGTTTGTTCTGGATCAGAATTAAATGCTTGGCTTCATGACTGTCGAATTAGCCACCATGGGAGAATAGATGATACTTTAACTGATATTATGCCTTTTAGTAGAAAGTTAAAAGTCCATAAGAAATTTTAAGCAATTTTCAAGTATGTGAATGAATTCACACCAGGTCACTAATTAATACCCACAATTACTAGTGTAATTGTGGGTATTTTGGTAAACTGTTTAGTACACTTTCAAGCTAAAGCTTCACTGTATGTTCTGATGTATCCTATTTTACATTCTAATATAATCCATCTGGGGCAAGCTCTATCCTTACAGTTTTGCAGTTGACTTGAGTTCATGGCCGTGCTGCCACCAGAAGTTTAGGGCTTCCGTGTCACCTCCCAGGACATATGTTCCCACCACCTCCTTTGCATTGGCTCTGCTGTTTTTGCAACCACGGTATTGGTTTGATCAGCCTGTTGATCAGAAGGAAGCAAGAAAACTAGGGAGGTTCTTTTGGAGCACCCTGTGTAGGGCATGTCTTCAGTTGAGGGAAAAGCTGATTCAGCTCATCCCATACCCACACAGTTACCAGAGCTGAAGTAAAATACAGCTAGGATAGCACTGCCAGAATAGATCAGGATTAAGGTGACAGTGTAAGTACAGCCTACTGCATTGTGAAGATTTCAGAGGGTCAACTGCAGTAAAGATAATTAAAAATAATGAGAAGTGCTGCTTCAGGAATGTTTCTCTCAAACTGTGGTGCTGTATTTGCTTTTCAGTTATGCTCAGATCAAGAGAAAAAGAATTGTTGTTTTGTATAATACACAGCATTGAAATTGAACTAGAATACACTAGAGACGTCAAAAAGTATTATTTAATATGAGTATTCGGACAGTTCCTTGAGTTTGACATCTAGTAAGATAATAGTGGCTGATTAGTGCTTTTGATTTCTCGTAACTTTATAAGCACCTGATTATAAATCACACCAGAAATAAGTTAATTTCGTATTATTATTTTGCAGTAATATCCAACACATGAGAGAACAGTTTGATGCACTAGGTCTGTCTTTTACATGGGAAAGGGTAAGATTTTATTTTCTAATGTATTCTGCTTTGTTTTATTGTGTGATGGAACATGGAAAAGCATTGAATGTCACCATTTTACTTGTGACAATATAGAAGCCTTTGAAAGCAACCAGTTTAAGTTGTTAAACTGTAAAAAAGATCTTCTCTCAAGCTTTTTATCAAATTTCTTTCACTTTGGCGATAGTGGTACCACCTGAGAATGTCAAGGTTTAGGAGAATCTTTAATTTCACTTTTGCATTTGGGATGCTTTTTCAGCTCTTTCAAAGTGGCAGTGTTCTGTCTTAGAAGTTAGACAGTAGTCTAAATAAATATATATAAAAGCAGCATGTTTAAGATGTGTATGTTTTGAGGAGTGCTTTTTTCAATGTGCATATTATACTCAAGGGTTGAAAGCTAGTAACTTGAAATGGTGGTTTGGTTCTGTTATTCTGAATTTGGAGCAGAAGCCTGCATTTTTGTAGGTGTTCCTGTCATGACCATTTTGGAAAATACAAATTTTATCTAAAAACACTAGTGCCTGAGAATCAGATGTTCATCTTAAAACCTTACCAAACACAAGCTAATGTAATCAGACATAAGCTAGTGTAATTTTCAAGATAGAAATCAATTATTAAGCAATTGTAAAGTTACTGCATTTACAATATCAAAGTCAGTTACTACCTTTATCTTCTCAGCAATAACTGTTGCTTATCACCTTAATATGATTCTGAATAGAGTGATGGAGATGCTAGTCTTAGATTTTTATGGCAGTATTGTAGATCTGAAAAGGAAAAGGATCGGTTTTCTGGCAGCCTGAGACCTGCCATCTGTTTTCTTTAATCTTGAGGGTGAAGTTGTTTATTTGCATATCTTACATCTAAAAAACCTTATTTTAACATGTCATATATATGTCAAGATTTTTTAGTAAGATTTTAGTTTTCTTGGTAGCCAAACGATTGCTCTGAAAAGAAAAGATTTGTTGTGGAAGGGTCACTGCACACATTCTTGACAATTATTTTCTTACATTTAAAACTTTTAGTATCTCAGATTTTCTGTATGTGTAATACAGCAATATTTCAATACTGAAATCATACTTGTGGACAGTATTATGGAACACATAATACAGTTGAATAGTTGGAACTCATAATAGTTGGAACACATAATAGGAGTTGAATGTTGCAGATTGCTTAAACCACAACGCCTTTCATGAAAATTGACTTTTGTTTAACTTTTCCATTCAGAAGAAGAGGTTGAGAATTGGCAGTACTGAATAAGTACATAAAGAAAAGTCACATGTCAAGTCTGTGCCTTTTCTTTGAGGCTTCCTTTACTTTTCTAGTAAACCCTGTTCTGGCTAATGAACTTTCATTTCTGCATACTTGTGAAAACGGCTTTGTTCTACAACTGCCCCATTTAAGCAGTTGTGTAACTGAAATAGAGGCACATAGTTAGGGTTTTGGAAAGGTAAAAAGTGTTCCCCAAAACACAAAAGTCTGGGAAGTTAGCTATGAGTTAAGTTTTATTCTACCTAGAAAGCCTGCCTTATTAGCTGGTGTAAGAGTGACCTGAATGGTAACCATTAGAAATAGATATGTTTATTCATTGCAAAAACTGTATGATGCCTGAAATATATCTGTATTATGTGATCTCCAAATGCACAGATGTTTGAGCTAGCCATGAAAGAACTCCCTTTGGAAGCAGAATGGCTAAGCTGCAGCAAAGTGAATTTTCCAGGCTGATAAAGCCTCTTCCCTGCAAGGGCAATGAGGCTGGGCAGAGCATCTTACTGCCTCAGCTATAATGCTTCTGGGCTAACTCAAGCATCTTTGCACGTACTTATCTTAAAAGGAACACTTTGAGGTTAGGAGTGTTTTTATTATTATTCTATACTTGTGTGGCACTAAGTCAGTGGCTTACAAAATACTGTGACCGTGCAAACAAATCCACTAGTGCAGGTTGAAAAATGAAAGAAAAACACTTTTTATATGGGTTAGTCTAATGTTATACAAAATGGGAGTTTGTTTTTAATTTCATTTCATTGGTGTTGCCTAAATGTGCTCTTTCATTATGTTAGAGCGTAGTACTTAGCAAATATATGCTGGAGTGAACTTGTTCTCCTACCTTAGATCTCTATTGGATTTCTTCACAGAGAGGATGGTCAGACATTGGAACAGGCTGCCCAGGGCAGTGATGGAGTCACTGTCCCTGCAAGTGTTCACAAGCTGTGTAGACAAAGCCCTTGGTGACATGGGTTAGTGGTGGCCTTGGCAGTGCTGGGTAATGGTTGGACTTAAAGGATGATCTTGAAAGTCTTTCCCAACCTAGTTTATTCTATGATTCTATATCCTTTGCAAATCTTTCACCTCCGAAGTTTAGAGTCTTACCCCATACTCCACTCTGTCTGCTCCACACACTCTGTCAGGAGCCTGGGTTCTTCAGAGCTGTTCTTCCCTACTCATGTATGTACTGCCTCAGCTGCAGGCTCCTCTGGTCTGCTTGTTCTCTGCAGCCTGCTCCAAGCTGCCTCTCAGCAGTTGACAGGATCTGTTCCTGCTTTCCACTGCTGAGCAACAGAGGAAAGGCAGCCTGGCTAAGGTGACTTCTTTCTAGTTTTAGAATCACAGAACAGTTTGGGTTGGAAGGGACCTTCAAAGGTCATCTAGTCCAACCATCCAGACAGTTCTGCTATGTTTTTCATGTGAGGCAGCTGTGATTATTTCTACTCATCTTCTGTTCTTATATCTATATCTGCATTGATTTTACACGGGTTTTAGATTCCATGTTAGCAGGGAAACTTCTCTTTGCGCATCAAACCCCCCCAAAACCCATGTTCTCTGATTTTGTGTACAGGTGAATATCAGTTGTTATAAACATTACACAAATGGTTGCTATACATAAATACCTACACTAACATATATGTTTTCTCTGCGGGGGCAGGTTATACACTTCTGAGTTAATTGTTTAAGTTAAAATGCTGTAAGAAAATAGTAAGAATAGTCTCAGGAATTTTTATTTTACTTCATTTCTACAGGAAGTGACCACTTGCTTACCAGAGTACTACAAATGGACACAGTATCTCTTTCTTAAGCTTTTTGAAGCCGGGATAGTGTATCAAAAAGAGGTAGGTACAAACTTTGACCATACTTTGCAGGTGCACTAATTCAAATCACTTATGTCAATGGCTCACTTCTGGATCATCCATTCACATTCATTAAGTGGATTGTCCTCTGTTGGTTTTAAATCTTTGCAAAATAGGATGAATTTTACATGTAACTGAATTTTATATGTAACTAACATGAATGAGCATTGTAGCAAGTCAAATCAGAAATATTTATTGTTGGTGATTTGTATTGAAGTGCAGGATCCAAATATAGCTCTGTTAGCTTATTTCATGGCTTTAGTACAGATTTTACTTGATCTTAACTTCCCTTCCATGAAAACATACAGGATAATGTGATCATTAGGAGTCTCTTCAGCAGTGGGATTATTTAACTGTATAACATTACTGTGATACAGTCTCAAAATTGATAGGTTTGGATAGGATAGCTGGAGATTATGTGCTCCATCTAATTCCTGGAGCCTATTTGTGATCTCTAAAATATGAAATATTAGAAGTTAAATACCATCACAGCTCTTTATTTGTTAGCAGTACATTAAGAAATTACTTACCTTATAATATTTTGTAAATAACATATATCAGGCTATCTGAAAAGGGAAGGGTTCAGTTAACTTCTTAAGGAGGAGGTGAAAGAAAGATGTTGAATAAGCATTCCAAAGATCTGTCTGCATAGCCAAGGCAGTGCAGTTCCAAAACACCTGAATGGCTGTGCCCTAACAAAGCTGAAATTTAGTGAATGTTTCTAACTTAAAATCAAATTAAAGTTTCTTAAGTAGGCCTTGACATTTCATTTATATTCCATAGAAACCAGGAAACCTGATAGGATATAATCAGGGATGTACTCTAATTTTTCTCTGAACCCAGCAAAAGAAGCTGATGGTGAAGGAATAGAAGGGTGTTACCAAGCTACTTCTATTTTCATAGGCAGGGGTGTATTCAGACATCGTAAATGGTAACCAGCAAAAAGATTCAATATTTCCCATGTCCTAACATGCTGGATTTGGTTGGATTTTTTTTTCTCTGCAATTATTTTTTGTGTTTGTAATAGAAAATTAACCCCTTAGGTTTACCGTAACAGGCTTATTTTGTATCTGTAAAGTTGTTCGCGTGACGAGTGATCCCAAGTGAATCTGGAAAGCACAAGCCTTGCTGCTTCAGTAGAATGAATGTATATCATTGATGATATACAAATTTGCACACAGGCTTCAAGTATTGTGGGATCCTTGAGGTGTTTGGGTGCTAGTGAAGTCTCTCTTAAAGTGAAGAATCAGTTTGAGGACTTAAATCAGTATCTGTCAACCTACAGGGAATGTAATCTCTGGTGGGTATGAGCCAGATGTTTTTGGCAGAAACAGATGGCAGGGATAGCCCATAACCCTGGGTCTCTTCAAACAGTCATATATACTTAAAGCATATATTTATCCCAGCTTGTCAGCATATCTGTAATGTATCTTAGGTGGTACTTTTGCACAGCTTGAAGTCTCCTGTATTACAACTTCATTTTGGGTACAAGGAGATAAGTCATAGCCTTACTTACAGGCAATAAGAATAATGCATGTAGAGCATTATTGTAGTTAATGCTCTGTTCCAGGAGTACGTGTGTCTGGCAGGGAGACACAGACTCAGTGTGTCTGGGTGCTGTAGTTACTGATAACTAACAATGTCTGGGTGCTGCAGCATCCACAGAGGGCATCTTTATTCACCATAGCAAAATCCATTCTCTTCTTCCTATAATACTGAGCTAGTCAATATAGTGTAGAGGCTATTGACCTGGCAGATTTGGGTGTCTCACTGGGGTTGAGATTAATAGCTGCCTACTCTATTTTTTTTTATTAGGTAGCTGTAGACTGTAGTGGAACCATACACACCAAACCTGTAGAGAGATATTAATGCTATAAATAGGTATAGCTACTGAAATTAGACAAGATGAATCCTATCTTGAAAGTATATGGTTTACGCTGGTGTAGTAGATTAAATAATCAGTGTGCTCAATACCCTTTTGCATGATGCTGTCTTTGTGTAGATGGCATTTAGCAGCTTCCTAGTGCCATACTTTCAGAGGCTGTCATTGTCAAAAAGTTGCTTGTGAGAGGTACAAGTAGGAACTAAGGATTTAATGTCATATCCAAGTTCTGGATATTAGTCAAAAGACGGAGAGATGGGAGGAACAAAATGCAACTTCAAAAATTCACAGACAAGACCTTTCAGCTATGGATTTCTTAAATGCGTATTTGCTTTATGTTTCGAGTGACTTATTTAGATAAATCTTGCAGTTATGAACCATGAGAATATGTTGTGCTAAATAATTATATTCATTTAAATCAGTTACCTTCTAAAATTTCAGTCATAAATTTGATCCAATATCATAAAAATAGAAACAGGGAGGGGGTTCTCAACTTTAAGTCATAGCCAATTTAATACAAGCTTATGCTAATTGTTCTCTAAGCAACTGGCATTTTATTACTACTTATTATTATCTGATTTATCTCTCATTACTTGTGACATTTTGACTTTGTGTGGGTTTTTTTTCATAAGATTGTAAATGAAAAGATCGATACTTTAGAGCCTATTTCATAATGTGTTGTATCATTGCTGAAGAAGCTGTGTTTTCTGAAATTCTAGAAAATAGATCTGTAATAGTGGAATATATTGATTGCTTGTAATTTCCCAATGAATTTTCAGTAGCCTTTTATGAAATCTGGTGTGATGTTACTGGTAGGCCACAGATAAAAGGTAGGCGAAGTGTAAAAAGTTTAAATGGATGTTATGAAAAATGTAGAAAATTCAGTGGCCTGAGGACTGTTTCTGGGTAATTCTTTTGATACCTGAAAAGTTTGAAATAGCTGCTGAAGATGTTATTTCTTCATGTAACATTTTTTAGGCCTTGGTGAATTGGGATCCAGTGGATCAAACTGTTCTAGCTAATGAACAGGTGGATGACAATGGTTGCTCATGGCGTTCAGGAGCAAAAGTGGAACAGAAATACCTCAAACAGTGGTTCATCAAAACTACAGCTTATGCAAAGGTATGAGAATATAGTTTGGGGACATTATGGTACCACTTAAAAGAGATGACTTTCCATCCAAAAGTGTTCATCAAGCTGAACATGGTCTTCAATATATGTACATGTTTGTGGAATATATAGTTAAATAATAATACACTCCTATATAAAAATTATTATCCCTGAAGTCTAAGTAATTTGTATGGGAGTAAGTTTTGAAGAAATCAAAAGGCATAAATTAGAGGTGAATGAATTAATTCTGCATTCACACATTGTCATCCAATATGTACCACCAGATGCTCTTCTGCATATTTTGAGTGTCTAGCTGTGCAATCTTTGAACTAGAAACTTGTTCACTTAGTCACTGTTGGACTTACGGGCATGGCATAAGCAGTGAAGATTCACTGGACCTTCTGTTTTATTTAATATTCTCTTTGATTTTCCGTAATTTAAAAATGTTTCCATGTTACTTAAACACCAGTTTTTGTTGTGAGCTCAACTTTTGACCGTGATGGAACAGTATAGCTTCCACACCTAGGAATTCTTTAACAAAATTTTGGGCTTTATGCTCTCTGAGGTGAAGTATCAACTTCCTGTTTTATCTGGATGGAGTTTTTATTCCATCTGAGTATTCTCTGTATTGGGACTTCCAAGTACAGATTGAGAAAGGTATTCCCAAGAAAATATTAAAAATTCATCTTTGACTCTTTTCCTGAGCCTCAGATTCAAGTGACCAAATTTCCACCATCATCTAGGGAGAAGAAATCCAGGTCTCGCTCTAGGTCCATTCATAATAAAGCTAAAAACTTTATAAATCCTGCCTAATGCTTTGATTCTTCGTACACAGTGAAGGTACTTGAGATGCATGGTTTCTGACTGTGCTGCCTGTTCTGTTCACCAGTACAACTTTTCTTGAAAGTCTTTGCTGTTTAGAGACTTCATATATTTGTGCTTCTACTGGTAAATGAGTACAACAATTTGGTTCTTTATGGATCTTGCCTCTCTTTTTCCTCAGTTGTTTGGGGCTTACCATGAATGTGTGTATAGCACCTTTTCTGCAGTTATTTTCAGGCACCTGAAGGCTCAGTATGCTACAGTAGTAGAGAGCATTTTTATCCAAGCTGAGCTTAGGTGTTGAAGGTACTTAAAGTACACTTAATGAATTTGCTAACCCTTAATTCTTCATGCAGATCACCAGCTGGCAATAATGGCTGAATGTGTAGGCATCCACCTTGCTTTCTTCTTGGTGCTTTGTCCTGGGTTCAGTACAGCAGTCATTTTTTCTCCTTCTCAGTAGCTGGTGCAGTGCTGTGTTTTTAACTTTCAGTCTGGGAACAACGCTGATAACACCGATGTTTTTAGCTGTTGCTAAATAACGTTTACTCTGACCAAGGACTTTCTCAGTCTCATGCTCTGCCAGGGAGGAGGGGAAGCCAGGAGGAAGCAGAGACAGGACACCTGACCCAAACTGGCCAAAGGGGTATTCCATACCACAGCACGTCATGCCCAGTATATAAAATGGGGAGAGTTACCCAGAAGGCCCAGATCGCTGCTCGGGTCGGGCTGGGCATCGGTTGGCGGGTGGTGAGCAGTTGTGTCCTCTCCCCTTGTTATTCCTCTTATCATTATTATTGGTAGCAGTAGTGGTTTGTATTTTACCTTTGTTACTGAACTGCCT